ATGGCAATTTTCTTGAAAATTTCTGGCTCTTTCTTAAAACAATGGGTAAGTCTCCGAGGCATGAAGGACTAGGAGAATCAGACAATTTTCATCAGGCCCAAATAACACTAGTCTTTTTAAAAGTGTGGTAGCATTCTATATTGGTTTAAAATGTACTGATCAATTTCCAAAGAACACATGCTAAATAAATGCAGACAGAAGGAATGGAAGAGAACAGACTGCTGAAAAGAAATCGGGGAACTTTTCCCTCCAATTCATCCTACATGCTAACACCAATTTTAAGTCTCTCCCTTACTCAAATGAAAAAAAAAAAAATCCTTAGATGCTTTCCTAAACCTACAAGATAAAATTCAAATTCCTTGGCCTGCGCACTCAAAGTTCCAGCATGCAGTACTACCAATCAACATAATCACCTACAATTCCCTTTCTCAGCCACTGACCTCCTCCCTTCTCTTCCAACAGGAAACACAACCACAGGGAAGTGAGAAACATCAGCACCATAAATAGGTTCAAGGCTTCCCTTCCCAACAATCAGAACAAAGGATAAACTTTAAATACATATTTCCCCTTAAAACTAGTCTCCAGTTGAGTACCTGGGCTATCGGATGGAAGAGCAGGTAGGATTTAGTAAGATTGACGCTATCAAAAGAAATGTAAATTATGCCCTTCTATGGTAACTGCGAATTGTCATCCTTTCTTTTCCTAGAACTGTCATGTCTCTGGCCAATTACCTGTTACTAGTATCTAGCAGCTTTGAAATCCACCGCCCCCCAAGACTGACTCCACTATTAAAGTGCCCTTTCACTAGGTATTCTATTCAATGGCAAGTCATTGACTTCTCATTGGGGAAAAGAGAAGGGAATCTGCCAATTCTCCTTTAGCCACAACAGCCTCAAAAACAGGACTTGGCATAAGGAAATATTATCTGCTCAAAAAAATCTTCTGGTTTTAGCATACAACTCTAGTAGTCCAAGTAGCCCTGAGGAGTCATTTTAACCCTAGAAACTTATGAAGCCCGGGTGATTTCAGCATAGAGATGTCTTATTTTTATTTTATTTTTTAATCAGCTTTTAGGCCCTACCCTATTCCTACCCTTTTCAGACCTGAAAGACAAAATCACCCAACAAAATTCACCAGAGCTTCTCAAGATTCCTTCTCCCATCTGGCTAATAAAAATTCTTAGTCATGAACAGAATTTGGGGTAAGGGGAGGAAGAGTCTATAGCAAAGAGGGTAGGGTATCTGATGGCACCCTGTCAACTCCTGAAGGCCAAAATGCTGCCACAAAGAACCAGGTCTTGGTCATCTAAGGCAAAACGTAAAGATAATGAAATATTCAACTGATCAATAGGCTAACTGCAACGCCAGACCCGGTGAGTGCATAAGTCATTAAGTCCTTGGACTTATTTTAAGTTCTAAGAAAGAGAGAAGGTAGAGTTTATCTGAGTCTGAACTAGTAATTTGAATGTATAAAAGCATTCTACAGATCTATACTTAAAGCTGTAATGAAGTCTCCAGACCATTTTAATGCTATATTTTGTCTGTGCCCTAAATAGACTGTAAACTATTTGAGGACATACACTTGATGTATCCCCAAAGCTTTTACCATAATACCAATGTTATTAGATTCAAAATACGACGGCCTGACTGATGATGATCAACGGAAAAAAACAAACATGAATTCTAGTATGTTTTTAAAGTCATGTAGCAGACAATACCAGTGACTGACAAGGTCCATGTGGTAGCCACCTATAAACTGGACTAGCTAACACCGCCTGACCCAATCTGGACTCAGTATTCATTGAATCCCTGTCCAAGAAAAAAAGTCAGGCCCTAACCGGTTTGGCTCAGTGGATAGAGCATCGGCCTGCAGACTGAAGGGTCCCAGGTTCGATTCCGGTCAAGGGCATGTACCTTGGTTGCGGGCACATCCCCAGTGGGTGGTGTGCAGGAGGCAGCTGATCGATGTTTCTCTCTCATTGATGCTTCTAACTCTCTATCCCTCTCCCTTCCTCTCTGTAAAAAATCAATAAAATGTATTATTTTTAAAAAAAGAAAAAAGGTCAGATTTTTGGCAAAAATTTATGGAGGACAGTCAGCTCTCATTAAATATGGCAGTCTACAAGATATCAAACACTAGGAATCAGAAAGAATAATAATGCTAAAATAGAACTATGTGCACAAGCCAGTGTGGCTCACGTGGTTGCCAGTTGGATTCCTGGGTTGTGGGCTCAATTCCCGGCCGGGGGCATGCAAAAGGCAGCCGATCCATGTTTCCCTTTCACATTAATGTTTCTCTTCTCCCTCTCCCTTCCCCTCTGAAATTAATAAAAATATTTTTTTTAAGTCAAGAATGACTCTTTGGTTTACTTCCTCTCTGAAATTAATAAAAATATTTTTTTAAAAGTCAAGAATGACTCTTTGGTTTAAAAAAAATAGAACTATGTGAATAAAAACTGAGTTCAGGGTAGTGAAACAACATCTTCATCCACAAGAAATAAGCAGGAGCAGCTAAAAGCCAAAGTCAAGCAAAGGATGATTCGACAAGCAAAGCTCCCATGCTTATATTTCCTACACTGTTCATTGAAACATCTCACCGGAGATTGGTAATGATTAGGTCAAGGTGAGAAGATGCTTCAGAGTTGGGTTTTCTATTTTAAAAGTCTACCAACCTTAAAAGGGTGTGAAAGCTAAGTGAAAATTGGAATGAACTTTTTTCCCCTGGACCAAAATGAAGTGATGTGGATTACCAGTTTGAGCAGCAGCATGAAGGTCGATGTCTTACAGATTTAATTCCAGCTACGAGGCGGCTTTTTTTTGGTATTTGGTATGTGACAACCTTTCTGAGCCTCAATTTCCCCACTCACTAAAAAAGGGCAATGCAGGCTCCTCTCACAACTTCACGAGGCGGAGGACTGACATAGAGTACTGTGAGAATAAAAGCAGCGCCCCACAATAACATTATTACTGCGATTACTTATAGAATTATTACCCGCTAGGATGAAGCTCCCCACACAAGAGATGAAGCCCGAGAGGAAAGAGTTGAAGGGAAAGGTCCCCACGAGGAGACAATAACCGAACTGCAGCGCCCCGGTCAGCAGTATATACAGGAGGTACGCGTCCAGCAACTTCAGACGCTGAGGAGTGGTGCTCAAGTATTCTTCCAAGAACCGCGAGATGACCGACACTACTGAGGCCGACATGACTACAAGATCGATACGCCGGCCAGCACTCGCCAAACTCCGAAAGGAAACGACCACCACACCGGATGTAGCGTTCGCGCGTGCGCAACGCTGTAACCCAGCTCCACCCGCCCCGATTGGCCAATTTGCGCAGGCGTGGGGTGGGCCAAAGCGCGAAACAACCAATGCGCAGACGCAGAATACATCGACTGACAGAACTACCGCCAGTATAGCTAATGCGCCTGCGCAATAGATCTTCCGTCTGAGCAAGAGACGTGTACTCTTTCTACCCTATTTTTGCAGTCACGTTAGTGACGCTCGCGGTTGCTCTGGCAACAAGATACAGTGAAAGGAAGTAGACGAGAGGTTTTACCGCGGGCCGCGTAGCTATCCGAGGGATCCCGCACTCTCTCTTTGCTCCTCAAAGATTAACTGGTTCTGTTTTACGTCAATGCCTGGCGCTCCCCAGGTTCAGCACCAGCTCGGCCCTGACTCTGACTGCATATGCCTGTCCCAGATCATTAGAACAAGTCAAGTTAGTCCACCAGCAGTGAAAACACTGCAGCGAATAACTGCTCAGGCACCAGTTTAAAGTGGTTATTGGAGGAGGAAAGTGCGGCGAGTAGGGAGCGAGTGAACTTGACCTCTACAAGGGCCCTGAGCTGGCCATGGAGGTGCTTATGAGTAAGCGCGGTAGAACCTGAGCCCACAGGTATTCATTCATTCAACAAACATTTATTGGGTAACTCCTCGGGCCCCACGTTAAGTTGTAGGTACCCTCGGGAGGAATCCTACAGTCAAAAAAGAGCGGGTGATTGGGAAGAGAACGAAGGGAGAGGTGGGGAGAATGAGGCGAGGTGGGGGGTGAGACTAAAATAATGAACTAAAGTACATAAAGTAAACGAAGTTTAGCAGCCTTTTACTCCCAAGCTGAAGTCTTGAACCCCGTGTAATATTCCAGGATGTCAGTGCTGAAAGGCTCGCAAAAGCATTGCCTGGTTCAACCCCTTTCCCCTCCAACTCATTTTGCAGAGGAAACTGAAAATTTGAGGTTTTATATTTTAACAAGTGGGGTTAACTATATTTACCGTTTTAACTTTTTTACAAAATAAGGTTCACTTTAATTTCTGGCTTCCGAGGCCCGTTTGATTTCACATGAATTTGACCCTCCAGACTTAGTTCATCTCATCTTTCGGCTGCAAGTCACACATAAGCAGGTACTTTTTCAGCTTATTAATAACTTTGAGCTATCCTAGGTACTCGGTAAAATGCCTAAAACAAATGAATGACAATGTTCCTTTATTTTCTTTTTTTATTTATGTTTAGACTGGAAAATCTATCAGCATCAACTACCGTACTGATTATCAGTGGTGGGCAAAGCCTTGCTTAGGTTCTAGAAAGAAGAAAAATAATCCATGTCCTCAGAAAGCTTTACAATTTATTTGAAGAGATATGTTTATATTTAGACCCACCGAGATTTGTATTGCTATATGAATTTAAGTTCAGCTTAAACTCTCTGATGTTGCTGGGGGGGGGGGGGGCCCGAGTGGGCAACCCCTCTGCTTTTTATTTCAATATAATATGGCAAGAAGCATAAGTTTCTCTGACAAGCTGAACCTTTCTCCCATCCTCATGAGCAAGTAAGAGGATAGCTTCCTCACCAGTATTCAACCTCAAACTTTATTTTTTTTTTTTTTTAATTAA